AAAAAATACCCTCTCTTACTACAAATTATCATGCAAACATTATGTATAATACAATAAAACACAAGGGTTGATGTGGAGTTCTGCTGGATAAAGCTTAGTTTAAAAATAATAATCCTGACATTTGAAGCATTTATTTAAAAGGTTTTATATTTGGTCAGAGCTTTGCGTGTGCAAGATCCCAGGATATCCCTGCCTGATGGGATAGCTTAAAAGCCAGTAAAATAAAAATTTTTAAACTTTTGAAGTCAGGTGGGGGAAATACTATAAATGCAGATTTTAGATGGAAAAGGAGAGTAGATGTAATCTCTAAGGGTCGCCATACACATTACAATCTGACTGTACAATCTTTGTACAGTCAGCTTTAAATTTATCAAAAATTGTAATATGAGGATGCAACTAATCTACTAAATGAATCTGTATTCATTCAGGCAGACCCTTCACAATACATATATGTTGATAGATAACAAGGGGACCACACAGTCAGATTTTAAAGGATATGTTAACCTTTTAAAAAAAACAAAACAAATTCACATCTTTTTGCAGGTAAAAAAAACATGCATTTATTATTTTTTTTACTTTGAGCCCTTAAAGCATTGCACCTGCAATCAGCAGATTGCAGGTGCTATGCAGGACTCCTGCAGACCTGTCAGTGTATCTGTGTGCTTATACCTCATAGGGGCAGGCAGATACACACTGTCAGAAAGAGACAAAGCATGGCGCTCAACAGCACTGTGCTAGGGCATTAAAAACTACAAGCCAACATCCGCAAAGGCTGTCAGTTCTTGTAGTGCCCATTCACAGAACTCTGTAAATGAATGACCTGAGCAGGGAGTGCAGGCGAAAAGAGCCCCTGCTAGCTCTCACTAGATACAGCTGAGCAGGCAGCAGTTGCAGAAGTAGGAACATGTTTCATGTTCCACTATAAAAACAGGTGGAACATGTAACATGTTCCCAAAGGTGAACGTATCCTCTAAAGCGGTACTGATGTCTGAAAATATTAATTAAAAAAAAGAAAAAAAATCTTCCCTCTGCAAGTGAAGGTCATAAAAGTAATAGCATGCATCGAATACTAGCCCATTATGAAAGGCTTACCTGTAAAAGGCATCCCTCCAGCAGCGTGCTGTCACCACTGACAGGGCTTCCATCTTCATGGGTTCCATTCGTTTGAATGGCCAAGCCGCAATGATGTCATAGTGCTCTGAATGGACTGCATGCGCTGGTGACGTCACTGGATGCTACAAATATGAATATCTTCTAAATGGTGTACATTTAGAAGATATTCCTTTGACAACTTGTAAAAGTGACCAAGCGGTGTTTAGTACTGTTATAACGTGTGATGATCCTAAAGTGACACTAGACCATGTCCTTATTCTCCAAATATAATCCATACACGTCCACTACTTAATAGTCATGTAATCTATTTTCCATTCATTTGCTTCTTACTGTGTTTTTCTACCTCCTTGCAAAGTCCTCTGTGAGCTCCCGAACCTCTACTTTCCTCCCTCACTTCCTTGTTTGGAATGAGAAGTGCACATTAGCTGCAATCATGTGCACTGCTCTATGCACACTACAAATCCCATAGTCTATCTCAGGAAAGAGAGGGTGTGTCTACGTTCCTACATACAGTGAGATCATTTAGAACACGAGTGCCAAACTGGCAGCCCACCAGCTGTTGCTAAACTACAAGTCCCATGAGGCATTGCAAGATTGACAGTTACAAGCATGACTCCCAAAGGCAGAGGCATGGTGGGACTTCTAGTTTCGCAAAAGCTGGAGGGCCAGACCCCTGATTTAACATGAATTTAGTCTCCCTCTAACAGTCAGATCACAGCAGCAAAAAAGGGAATTTGGAGGAGGCTGAGAGCATTAGAAGGTGCTTTTTTAGTTCACAATACTTGAATGGAAATTTTAGTGTCGCTGTAACTGGATGACATTTGGGGGTCATTTACAAAGGAGAGCAGATAGCTCCGTAGTACTTTTCAAGGTTACAACCCATGGGGTAGAGCCTGCAATAGCTTACGGCATTATCTCTGCCTAATGCACCATAAAGAACTCCATAACTGGAGTAGAAGCCAGCCACATGACCTTGACAGGTCACAAAACCAAGCTGTCTTCCTCCTGGCTTTTTTTTTTCCCATTCCACTGAAAAGTGCTCAGTTGGCTTCAGAAACCCTGCACTTCCTGATTTCTTGCATAGGCAAGAATGATGTTTGTGTGGATTGCTCCCCTTCATATGTGCAGATAGTGCTGCAGGGCTTCGGGTCCCAAGTGAGTCCTGTGGCACATTTGCGCATGCACTGGCTTCCCCAAATATTTGCACATACACAGGATCCCCCACACATGTGCAAAGATGGCAATTATGGAAGTCCTAAACATCTGTGGCATGTGTGGATAGTCTTCTCGACATGTGCAGGTATGCTGAAGGGCTCTACCAGGACCCGTAGGCAGGGCAAAGCCCTTCAGCACATCTGTGCACATGCCATAATGACGGTGCTGGAGGTGAAGGGTTGGAGCCAATACATAGGGGACTAAAGTTCTCTTTAAGGGCCGGTTCACACCATAGAAACACAGTCTGCATGCATTCCAGATACGCTTCTGCATGCACGTTTTTTTGTTTTTGATGCATTCTAGTGTGTTTTATGCATTTATAATGCATTAAGGTGCATTTTCCCCTCTTTTTTTATTCATCTTAAATAAGGACATGCATTCCAGTACAGTTCAGTGCATGTGATTGTGTGCAATTTGTGTTGCATCAGAAATCACAAATCGTGTGAACCAGGCATAAATATCTTATTTTGTTCAACATAGAGAAAATAACAGGTTCACTTTACCAGAGGGACCATAGGCATCCTTTTCTCTCCGTGTGTTACCGGTACAACTGATCTGTCATTGGAACAACAAGAAATATTGAGTATGTCAAAATATGGGGGAACACATATCCCCTCTCTGGCTACAGCTGCCAATCATAGGCCTGAGCACTGACAATGGGGAGGAGCTTGCTGAGCCCTGTACAGGTTTCAACAAAGGGGTGGCAGATGGTGCAGAAAAGGTTAGCACAGACTTCCTCTGGAGCCTCGTAATAATGAACCTGTTACTTTATATGAGCAAAAACATGTTTGCTTTAATTCAAATTTGTCATCTGAACAAGCTTATATTTCATGTTTTCTGTATATTTGCATTCGAGATCTAGGCAAATAGTACAATCATTATTATGCAAGCAAGTGACTGTTTACTTTTGCATTGCTTCCCCTTAGATGAGACTTATGAGAAGGTATCCCTGCATTTTTTACACAAGCACATGCAATTGTAACGGTTGGGGCTTCTTCACCTGTACTACAGGGTGTATTTTAGTCAAGCAAATGCAGAATTCTGCTAACAGGAAGTTGAATGAATTGGGTCTGTGGTGAAGGAGGACACAGAGGGCATCACTTAAATGTAGAGGGTGCTTTTTCATTCAGCCATGTCCACCATCATGTGATCCACTGCAGTGCCTCTCCTGAGAATGGAGACCGGTGGACCAGGGCTGCAGTCGCACCTCCCACGAACCAGTCCTCTCATCGGGATTGTCATCGCACCACTGTAGTCTTCTGGAGCCGATGTTTCCACCAATACAGATCCTCATTGCCCAGGCAGCAACATGGGCCACCCTGAGAAGGACACTTCCGTCCTGCAGGCCAAAAATTAGACAATTCAGAACCTGGTGCTTTATGTGACAATGGATTCAGGTAAATAAAAGTGTCTTTTAGAATAGATTTTTTTGTAAATCAAAATGGTGATTGGAGGGGGGGGAGAGGTGGCTAGGAGTTAATGCAAGTGGAACAGCATTATTATAATTATTCCCTGGAATACCATCTCTAGTAGTCCGGTAGTCCATTCGCCAGCATTATAAAGCTGGTTTTACCTTCTAGGAAAACATGACGTAAGGGTGCCACCATTCATTGGCATGCATAACCAGGATTCAGTGTGTCTCATAGGATATCTCCACAAAGCTGGCCACACAAGGTGTGAGTGGCCTTGCAAGTGACACCCAGCCTGACAAAAGTTGATTTAAAAATTGACTTAGCCAGGTGGAAAATTATCAGCCAAAGAGTGACTGCATCTTATATTAGATGTAGTCACTGTTCGGGGTATACAATAGTCAGCAGTGAAGATTCCGCTGTGTATGATCAGCTTAAAGCAGAATTGTACCCATAACAATTTGATCAAATATAATCTTCTTTATAGCAAGGAACATACATTACACATTAATAATCATGCTACCAAAATTAGTGTGCGCTGTAAATTGCCTCCAGCCTCCTGTTTCTTCTGGCTGGCGGCTGCCATTTTGCCGAAGCCCAGGGACCCTGAGCAGCAGTAAATCTTTAGGCTGTCAGCAGATCAGCCTCTAGTGGCTCTGATTTTAGGCACAGTTCCGAAAAATAGAAACTGAGCATGTGCAGAGCAGGGTGAGACAGTGTATTCCTGAATTTTAAACAGTACAAGCACTTATTTTTAACGTTTTACATTGATATACCTGCAAAAGGGGTCCGCCTGAAGTGGCCTAGCTGGACTTAATTTTCTGACTAAAGTTCCACTTTCAAACACTTCAAGCAGGCAGGTTCGTTATTGCAGAAGAGATCTGCAGTGCCTCCTCTGCAACAAAATAAAACTAAATGATCACAGTCTTCTTTAGAATGTACTGGATCACAGGAGTATCATTCTGGGCTGCCCAATGAAGATGGCCACAGCCTGGCACCCAGAAGAAGCTGGGTAGAAGATGCCAGAGCTGTCAAGGGACATCAGACTGTTGAAGGAAAGGTAAGTATCATGGAGTTTCGTTCTACTTTAAAGCATTATTAAATCCAAAACCAAATGTATTAGATTGCAGCTTACAAATCATTAAACGTGGTGACTGCATTAGTTCATTTGGATTTCTGCCTCTGTTTTCACCTGGTGATCTGACCAGTGACACTCCCCCCTGTATTAGTGAGACACCACTGCATCTGTAGAACTCAGAGTAGACTAAATTAAGGAGGCTGGCAGGTGATACATATATATATATATATATTACAGTGGGGATCGAAAGTTTGGGCACCCCAGCTAAAAATTTGTATTAATGTGCATAAAGAAGCCAAGGAAAGATGGAAAAATCTCCAAAAGGCATCAAATTACAGATTAGACATTCTTATAATATGGCAACAAAAGTTAGATTTTATTTCCATCATTTACACTTTCAAAATAACAGAAAACTAAAAAATGGCGTCTGCAAAAGTTTGGGCACCCTGCAGAGTTAATATCTTGTACTGCCCCCTTTGGCAAGTATCACAGCTTGTAAACGCTTTTTGTAGCCAGCCAAGAGTCTTTCAATTCTTGTTTGAGGTATCTTTGCCCATTCTTCCTTACAAAAGTCTTCCAGTTCTTTGAGATTTCTGGGCTGTCTGTCACGCACTGCTCTTTTAAGGTCTATCCATAGATTTTCAATTATGTTGAGGTCAGGAGATTGTGAAGGCCATGGCAAAACCTTCAGTTTACGCCTCTTGATGTAATCCCCGTGGATTTCGAGGTGTGTTTAGGCTCATTATCCATTTTGTAGAAGCCATCCTCTCTTTAACTTCAGATTTTTCACAGATGGCATCAAGTTACCATCCAAAATTTGCTGAAATTTTATTGAATCCATTTTTCCTTCTACTCGTGAGATGTTCCCTGTGCCACTGGCTGCAACACAACCCCAAAAGCATGATTGATCCAACCCCATGCTTAACAGTTGGACAGAGGTTCTTTTCATTAAATTCTGTGCCCCTTCTTCTCCAAACGTACCTTTGCTCGTTCCGGCCAAAAAGTTCAATTTTAACCTCATCGGTCCACAGAACTTGTTTCCAAAATGCATCAGGCTTGTCTATATGTTCATTTGCAAAGTTCAAACGATGATTTTTGTGGTGAGGACATAGAAGAGGTTTTCTTCTGATGACTCTTCCATGAAGACCATATTTGTACAAGTATCTCTTTATAGTGGAATAGTGTACCACAACTCCAGTGTCTGCCAGATCTTTGTGGAGGATCGTGCAGTCAAACGTGGGTTTTGAATTGTTTTTCTCACAATCCTGCGAGCTGTTCTGTCTGATATTTTTCTTGGTCTTCCAGATCTTGCTTTAACTTCCACTGTTCCTGATGACTGCCATTTCTTAATTACATTCCGAACAGAGGATATTAACATCTGAAAACGCTTTGCTATCTTCTTATAGCCTTCTCCAGCTTTGTGAGCGTCAACTATTTTCAGTTTCAGTTTTCTAGACAACTGCTTAGAAGAACCTGGTGTGATTGTTGGGGCAAGGTCAGATGAGTCTGGGCATTTAAAACCTTTGAGATTGACATCACTGGTCTTCCCAGATGATGATTGAGAACAATCCATGACACTGGCAGGTCTCAGCTTTGCAAAGGGGGCAGTGCATGCTATAAATTCTGCAGGGTGCCCAAACTTTTGCAGATGCCATTTTTTGTTTTCTGTTATTTTGAAAGTGTAAATGATGGAAATAAAATCTAACTTTTGTTGACATATTATAAGAATGTCTAATCTGTAATTTGATGCCTTTTGGAGATTTTTCCATCTTTCCTTGGCTTCTTTATGCACATTAATACAAATTTTTAGCTGGGGTGCCACAAACTTTCGATCCCCACTGTATATATAGTGATGGGAGTCACTTTGGGTGGGGGGCCCATGGTACCCAGCTCACTTTGGAGAGATGGGGAGACCCCTGCCTCAGCTCCCCATATCCCTCTTATGTGTAAATCACCCTGTGCCTGTTAGGGGTACGGGGTGATCTGTCCTAATATTAGGGTGGGGGGTTGTTGATTGTTTAATGCGATGTGGTTGCATCCCATTGTTCTATTGTGTGTCTTGCTTGAGAGCAAACTATTATGGGATGTATGTTTGTGTATTGGCTTGGTGGGGGGTATTTCCGGCAGCCCTCCCTCCTGATGGGACTGTCTGTTTGTGTGTCTCTTGTTACTAAAGGTAGATTGCCCTGCCCTGTGTCATTATGCAGTGAGGGGGAGTTGTTCCTGTGAATGTGTATATCTTGTATCTGTGTTAAAATAAAGTAGTCTATTTCCTGGTTTAATTCAAGAATGGTGTCATCTAGTCTTGTATGGTCTGCTGTGGTGTCTGTGGTCGGTGTTCAGACAGGGAAGCGGTATCCTAACGGAAGTACCCAAGTGCAGTCGGGGTCCAGTTCTGTTACACACACATATATATATATATATATATACTTTTGTGTGTGTTTTTTCTTGGTTATGTTTATTAGCTTCTGAACTAATTTGGCAAAAAACATAAGGAATTTTCCATCCTGGAGTAAAGCTGTGGCCTTTATACTTCTCATGGATAAGACCACCCCTAAGTCACCAGTCACACCACTGCGATTTATGTGCGATTTATGAATACTTTATTGCTACTTGTGAAGATTTACAACGATTTTCCATTATGTTTTATGTATGTGAAACTGCAGAAAAAGTAATGCAAGAACTACTTTAGAAATTGCTCTGCAGCAAATTGCAGATGTTAGGACACTGACATTCACATTCACTAGATGCGATTTCAGGTGCAATTTTTCAATTTGGAAATTGCACCTGTATGACCAGGCACTGGGTGTAACTGGTGACTAAGGCTGATTTAACAAATACGAGTTGAGGTAACATGCGTACTTTAATGTGTGTTACTGCAACACACGGACCATTGTATGTTTTTGTAGTTTCTTTTGAATGGCCCCCTAACACACTAAGTTAACGCACCTCCTACATACGCATTTCAGAGCCCCACAATGCACTGTATCCTACTTGTGCATTGCATCAGTAAAAATGGTTCAGGCAAGATTTTAGGTTTTGTGGTGCATTAGCAGCCCACTTCCTCTCATAGGGTGACAACACACACTGCACTGTATCTATGGAGGAGCAGTGTTGTCACCCTAGGTTGCCCTTCTGATTTGAAATACAAACACCTTCGCCTTTCCTCATCTCATCTAACATTAGGGAGAGTTGTTCTGTACTTCTAACAAGAAAAGTAGTGAGCTCTGACAACAATATTTAAAATTTTAGTTCAGTGCATTAAACATTACATGGACAGTGCATTTCTGTCAGGATCAACATGTATATTCTGTACTTGCAGAAATGTTCTTAGCCTGAAAAACAATGCAGCCATCACACCCAGGGATAGCTTCAAAATATAACATTTTTGTTCTTGGGTTAGCTATACACTATATTTCCAAAAGTATTAGGGCACTTCTCCAAATCATTGGATTCAGGTGTTCTAGTCACCTCAATGATCACAGGTGTATAAAATCAAGCACTTAGATATGCAGACTGCTTCTACAAACATTTGTGAAAGAATGGGTCGCTCTCAGGAGCTCAGTGAATTCAAGCGTGGTACCGTGATAGGTTGCCATCTGTCCAATAAGTCGATCTGTGAAGTTTCCTTGCTACTAAATATTCCACGGTCAGCTGTTAGTGGTATTATAACAAAGTGGAAGCAACTGGGAACAACAGCAACTCAGCCACGAAGTGGTAGGCCATGAAAAATAACAGTGTGGGGTCAGCGCATGCTGAAGTGCACAGAAGTCACCAACTGTCTGCAGAGTCAATAGCTAAAGATCTCCAAACTTTGTGTGGCCTTAGATTAGCACAACAACAGTGCATAGAGAGCTCATAGAACGGGTTTCCATGGCCGAGCAGCTGCATCCAAGCCTTACATCACCAAGTGTAATGCAAAGCATCAGATGCAGTGGTGTAAAGCACGCCACCACTGGACTCCAGAGCAGTGGAGATGTGTTCTCTCGGGAGTGACAAATCACGCTTCTCTGTCTGGTAATCTGATGGACGTGTCTGGGTTTGGTGGCTACCAGGAGAATTGTACTTGTCTGACTACATTGTGCCAAGTGTAGAATTTGGTGGAGGGGGGATTATGGTGTGGTGTTGTTTTTCAGGGGTTGTGCTTGGCCCCTTAGTTCCAATGAAGGGAACTCTTAAGGTGTCAGTATACCAAGACATTTTGGACAATTTCATGCTCCCAGCATTGTGGGAACAGTTTTGGGATGGCCCCTTCCTGTTCCAACATGACTGCACACCAGTGCACAAAGCAAGGTCCATAAAGACATGGGTGAGTAAGTTGGGGTTGAGGAAATTGACTGGCCTGCAGAGTCCTGACCTCAACCTGATAGAACACCTTTGGGATGAATTAGAGTGGAGACTGCAAACCAGGCCTTCTCGTCCGTTGTCAGTGCCTGACCTCACAAATTTGCTTCTGGAAGAATTGGCAAACAGTCCCATAGACACCCTCTTAAACCTTGTGGACAGCCTTCCCAGAAAGAGTTGAAGCTGTTATAGCTGCAGAGGGTGGGCCAACTCAATATTGAACCCTATGGACTAAGACTGAGATGCCATTAAAGTTCATGTGCGTGTAAAGGCAGGCGTCCCAATACTTTTGGCAATATAGTGTACTTTAAGGGCCTGTACACAGTTCCCCTCATGTTTTGGCATGTGCATGACAGTGTTGCGCATGTCCATTTAATTTCTGGTTCACAGCAATGTGTCTGCCGGTTTTCATGGGCTCCTAGTAAAATCTATGGTTTAAAAAAAATGCATATTGTCGTACGGTACAAGAAAGACAATTGTACTTTTTTCCAAGACGCACAGAAATAAATGCACAGATATAACGGTAATCTTCTTGTACATTTTCTTGCGTTGGTCAAGGCATGTAAAATCACTCACTCCGTTGTTAACGAGGACTTAGATACGTGTTGTGCATGCCCTTTTTTAATTGCACATCAGTAGTACCAGAAAAAAAAAAATGCCTTTTTTCCCAGCACACCACAAAGCAATGCATGCTTTTCTACTTATATACATTGCACAGAGGGACAAGTGCTTTTTGTTTTGTCCATGTGTACATGTTAGTGCAGTACACATACATACAGTTGTGACCAAAATTATTCAACCCCCACTGAAATTGAGTGTTTTGGCCAGTTTGACATTGCTTTTGATCATTCAGTCATCTTGCTTACATTTACATTAAAGAGGCACTTGTAGGTCAGACAAATATAACATAACAGTTATAAATGAAATAACCACAAATGTCTTTTCTGTGCTCACAGCATTATCAGTTTTTAAATTCAACCCCCAAGTGACATTCAATCTTAGTACTTAGTACAGCATCCCTTTTACAGTTATAACAGCTTTTAAACGTGAAGCATAGCTTGAACAAGTGTCTTGCAGCGATCTACGGGTATCTTCGCCCATTCTTCATGGGCAAAGGCCTCCAGTTCAGTCACATTCTTAGGCTTGCGCACTGCAACTGCTTTCTTTAAGTCCCACCAGGAAAGTTTCTCAATTCGGATTTAAGTCTGTGACTGCGATGGCCACTCCAAAATGTTCCAGCCTTTCCTCTGCAACCATGCTCTAGTGGACTTGGAGGTATGCTTGGGATCATTGTCCTGTTGAAAGGTCCAACGTTCCCAAGCCTCAGGTGTGTGACGGACTGCATCACGTTTTCCATCCAATATCTCCTTTGGTACTGAAGAGAATTCATGGTACCTTGCACCTGCTGAAGCTTCCCTGTACCTGCAGAAGCAAAACAGCCCCAAAAGCATGATTGACCCTCCACCATGCTTTCACAGTAGGCAAGGTGTTTGGTCTTTTCATCATAGGCCTTGTTCTTCCCTCCTCCCAAACATAGCGTTGGGATCCATGGGCCCAAACAGTTCTAATTTTGTTTCATCAGTCCACAGAACACTATCCACAAATTTTGTGGTTTGTCCACATGGCTTTTGGCATACTGCAGTCGACTCTTCTTATTCTTTGGAGACAGCAAGGGGGTCGCCCTGGGAGTTCTGGCACGGAGGCCTTCATTACGCAGTGTGCGTCTTATTGTCTGGGCTGAAACTTCTGTACCCACATCTGACAAATCTTTTCTCAGTTCCTCAGCAGTCACACGGGGACTTCTCTCCACTCTACGCTTCAGGTAGCGCACAGCAGTCGAAGTCAGCATCTTCTTTCTGCCACGACCAGGTAGCGTTTTAACAGTGCCCTTTGCCTTGAATTTGCGAATGATGCTTCCTAAGGTGTCTCTTGGTATGTTTAACATCTTTGCAATCTTCTTATTTAGGGGCCTGTACCATTGCCCTTCCTTATGAAGAGAAATCACCTCTTCTCTTGTCTTACCTGGACCATTCTCTTGCCTTCACCATGTTTGTAACCACACCAGTAAATGTCTAGAAGGAGCTGAGTATCACAGTCATTTTAACGGCTGCCTAATTTCTTGCTTATTATGCTTGATTGCTGCTCGGTGACATCCACAGGTGTTTTCAATACACTGATGGAAAGCACCTGTATGAACCTCTGTTCTTCAGAGTGGTAGTCTTTAAGGGGTTGAATAAGTGTGGCAATGAAGAAACCACATAAGAACCATTTACTACTGTATTACATAAAAAATGATGTCATTTTAGTTGCATTTGGGTAGTTACAACGTCCTTGTAGGATTTGATTCTGAATACCAATTCCAAATGTACACTATAGTCCCTAAACCCCTTTACACATGCATTGGGGTTGAATAATTTTGGTCACAACTGTAAATACATTGTGTTGTAACACAATGAACATAGCATGCACAACAACTTGAGTGCAAAAATGTAACATACAGCCTTAAATTAAAGCTGAACTCCAATTAAGTATGATCTTAATTGCATCCTAATATTGGTCCAGCTTGTGTGTACAGCTTGGATCAATGTAAGTATGCAGATCACAAACTTCAGAGGCCATTGAGAAGCTGGAAACCCCTTAAGTAGTTGGAGCTACTACAGTGATAGCAGCAGTTGTGACATCTCCACCTGCAGGCAGCCCTGATTTGCCTCCAGCAATGGCCATGCTAGCTAAGGGCCCCTCCGACCAACAGGAATGGCCTGTGACATGCACTCACCTGTAACAAGGAGAAACTGCACCATCTTTGGTCACTCATATACTCCTGGCCCAATTCCCTTCTCCAGCAATAAGGAATGTCTGCATGTTCAGCCTTTTAACGATTTTACATAATGTACAGTTCTTTACTTCACAACCTTCATTTTCACTCTTCCATACACATTCTGCAAAGTCCATGTCCAACACAAACTTGGGATAACCACTGATTTCTTTAACTGTCCTCACTGCATGTCCTCCATAGTTGGGTTCTCCAACTGAGTCTGTTACGGGCCTACCCCGAAAGGTTCACTTCCTGAGGCTACAGACTTACATACCAGTATACCAGGGGTAACCTTTTCCCATCACCTGCTGCCCAGGGCTCTTCTGGTTCTAGCTTATGTATGACAGGCTAGCCCTACCTACCCAGGGGAAGGACCTCACTAAAGGGGCACTAACCCTGCTTACTTGCTCCTCCTTTCCACCTTGCCTAATCAGAAAACACACTCTTTATTCAAGAAAAAAAAAACATAAGGTGTTTTATGAATGATGGCAGTGCCAAAGAGCTCCCTCCTGTGGTCAGTGTACAACCACTGGACCTGGCAGATTATTTGTATAACTGTAGTAGTAAACAAGCACTAACAGTGATGCACCAAACCAGTGGTGGACTGACAACTCATGGGGCCCCGGGCAATAGGGGATCATGGGGCCCCTGTGTCCTTGCCCTAACTCAAAAAAGCCTATGAAAAAGGTACCAGGGGCATCTCATGGGGCCCCCTACTGACCCACGGCACTCGGGCAGTGCCCGAGTTTCCAAATGGTCAGTCCGCCCCTGCACCAAACATAGCTTTTATTGAACACCTATAAAAACACATATGGGAAGATTTACTAAAACTGGTGCACTCAGAATCTGGTGCAACTGTGCATGGTAGCCAATCAGATTCTACCTTCAGCTTGTTAAACTTTGGCAATAAAACCTGAAAGCTTATTGGTTTCTATGCAGAGCTGCACCAGATTTTGCACTCTCTAGTTTTAGTAAATAACGCCCATAATGTAAGGAGTATAAAGACATCACAGACAGCGTGACCTTGCTTATAGAGCAATATAGGGCTAGTGCTGAGGCATGATAATATAATCCTGGTGGATGTATACAAATGTCTCCATCTAAGATGGAGCTATGTTTTAGGCTGTGATGGTTTTGGCGCTTGGGTTCAACGCATAGCCAGCTGGTGCTTGTTGATTAGTATTTCCCAAAGGACAATTAAAATAGTATATTTATACATCAGGCCATTTTTTTTTCTTTGAGTTATAACTGTAGTAAAACTGACCACTACAGTGATTAGCAGCTTCCAAAGACATCTCTGAGGTATTGGGGCAGCACAGTGGCTAAATGGCTAGCACTTTCACCTGGCAGCACTAGGGTTATTGGTTTGAATCCTAACCATGGCACCACCTGCCTGGAGTTTGTATATTCTCCCTGTGCTTGTGTGAGTTTCCTCCCACACTCCAAAGACATGCTGGTAGGTTAATTGTCTCCTGTCTAAATTGGCCCTAGTATGTATATGTATGAATGTGAGTTAGGGACCTTAAATTGTATGCTTCTTAAGGGTTAGGGAATGATGTCAATGTACAATATGTATATGGAAAGTGCTGT